AAGTTTAAGGGTTAGTCCCAAGATTTCTGACAGCACAACAAAGACAAAGCAGTTTCTCAGTTCTATCTGAAACAGCAAGGGCAGTGTGGGAAAGAAAAACAAGGTGAACAGCAGCAGAATCTAGACAAGTGAAAAAAGTTGGAAATTGCTAATGCCATGCAACACTGACATTTCATTTAGCTTAGAAACTACAGTGGCAATAATAATGAATAATATGTTAAGTTCAATAAGTTATTTGAACTCAAATTATGACTTACTAAATAAGTCATCACATTGACAGTTCTAGAAAATTTTCACTGCAAAACAGCATACTGTTTTAGTTGCTTTGATTGTTTCTCAATATAGTGCTCATTACTCAGTTTCCAAGGGAATTCTAAAGGGGTATGTGTAAAGTTTAAGTTAAGAGGGCTTGGGGATATGGCTCAGTTGTCAAAATCTTTGCCTGGTAAGTATGATGATCTGAGTTTGGATTCCCAGAAACAACATAAAAAGGCATCTATAATCCCAGTGCTGTTTAGACAAACACAAGTGAATCCTTAGAGCTAAATGACCAGCCAGTAAGCTCCATGTTAACCGAGAGACATTTCATCGAAATAAAAATTAAATAAGGTAGAGAATGATTAAAGATGTCAAAAATCAACATCTGTCCTCCACATGTACTCACATACATACATATATGGATACACTCATATGCCCAGTACACATACTCTAATGTCCATGTACACACACACACACACACACACACACACACACACACACACACACAGAGAGAGAGAGAGAGAGAGAGAGAGAGAGAGAGAGAGAGAGAGAGAGAGAGAGAGAAATACATAAACACAAAGTTAAGAACATACTGTGAAGAGACAGTCATTTGGCAAAAATTTTAATTTCCTTAACTGTCAGCTATTTGGTAAAGCCAGCATCTTGTTTTAGAAAGGGCAAAAACAGATCTAGAAATTGCAGGAAGTAGAATATGGTTTCAAAGGAAGGGGATTTTATGAGATTTGGAAGCTGCTTTAATTTTATGATACTTTAAAACGAATCTCTATGTGTGTATTTTAATGGTAACTCAATTTTATTGCCCCAGATGTAAACATCTATGATTCCCTGAAAAATTATAGTTTATCCACTGGCATTTCAATGTGGGAAAAAAAGTGTTTTTGCTCAAATTTCTCTGAAAAGTCTCCCTCTTGCTTTTGTTCTGGACAGACAGTCCTGATGCTGTTCTTAATATCCTGTTTTCATTCATCAGAGCTGTTGCCCTTTTCATTGCCATGTTCCCATCATTCTCCAGCTTTCATGTGGTGCTTTACAATAACAATTGAGAACAAAAGAATCACTCCTCTTTTGGTTGCCTTAAAAAATAGAGGGATGTGTGGGGGATGGGAGCTTCATCTCTGACTGTAGGGCTTCAGTGATCACAGGAAATGTTCATAATAGTTAACCAGGAGATGTGAATAAGGTTAGTTTTCTTTATTTTTTAAGATCACAAACTAACTTCAGGATACTTGGCATATGGGTACTTCGTGTGTTGAATACTTTGAAGTTGAATGGGTAAAGTGGTTTTCTTTTTATAATTACTCTCTCTCTCTCTCTCTCTCTCTCTCTCTCTCTCTCTCTCTCTCTGTGTGTGTGTGTGTGTGTGTGTGTGTGTGTGTGTGTGTGTGTGTGTATGTACGAGTACATATGATGAAGATGGGCACTCATGTGCCTTGGTGCAGGTCAAGGAGATCAGGGGACAACTTCCAGGAGTCAGTTCTCTCTTTCTACCATGTAGACACCAGGATTAAACTCAAATCTTCAGATATAGCAGCAAGTGCCTACTGGCTGAGCCATATTTACCTACTCAGAAAAGCACTATTTGTGTGTGTGTGTGTGTGTGTGTGTGTGTGTGTGTGTGTATAAAAGATATTATTATATTAGATTCTTTCCCCATCTGCTCATACAATAGGGATTAGTTACTTGTAGTCTTCATTATGTGTGTGAGCATGACAATAAGATATGTTCTTTGCTGTTGAACAACTTAACCTGTCCAGTGTTCACAAAACAATCTGAACATTTTAGGGGGTAACAAGGAAGAAGTCAGCATCCTAGAGGAATATTATATAGGCGAAATAAAAAATAAATAAACTTGTCTCCAAGTAGTAAGGACTTTTCCATGATTCAATCCATTTGCAAAAATCAATTCAAGTGTCTTTAAGAAAATAGATCACATCTTACTATTTTCAAAGTAATTTTGACAGATTTGAGCCAAGGGACATTCTTGGATAAATAATCATTACCTACAGGTTTCTGTCTTTGCACAGAGGAAAGAGTTTCTGTAATGTAGTGGGGATGAACAAACTGAGAGACTTGCAGAGAATGAATGTTGTTAACAACTTCAAGTAATTTTTAAAGGGTGCTTTTGTATATGTATGTATGTGTGTGAATACATATACTATATACATATATACAAATACTGATTCCATTATATGTACACCCAGGATTTTATAGACTTAGAGTTTTATGGATATATGTATAAATATCTGTTCAAATATAAGTATGCATGGAAAAACACTCAAGGAAGGGAGGATTATGTTTTCTTCACCTGTGGGTGGTTATAAAGAAATTAGCTTTGATTTTTGCCACCACCATTATGTGACTCCACTAATCTGAAGATCCAATCATAGATCTCCTGCTATGAGACAAGTTGAGATATGACCTCTCTGTCTTCTTTCTCTCTGTAGCCTGTTACTATTGTCAGACACAAACTCCTGTATGAAATCCAGAAAAGTCTAGAGTAGAAAACATCAGTCATTTACAATGTAATATAAAATATATTTGATTTGCCTTTAAAACTGAATTGATTTAGCTGGACATGGTAACACACTTTTAATCCTAGTGCTTGAAGGCGGAGGAATTGAGATCATAAATTCCAGGCCAGCCTTGACTACAAAGCAAGACTAGGCTTGTTTATTTGTTTTTAAAAGAAAAAAAAAAGAGAGAAAACACCCAGGATGCTTTGTTTCTTAAATTAAACCATAATATATAAAACATGAAATATTTTTGAGACCCTTTGATTGTTAGAAATCTCAACTAAAGGCTAACATGTTATGAACTTGAAAATATTACATAATACTTTGTTGTTGTTTACCATTGTCTTTTCATGGGTGGAGTAAATTTTTTGTTTCCTGATGTTTCAACTTGAGCCATTCAGGCCGATTTTCCCATCACAGTGCCATAATACAGACAAGTTAAATCTGTCTTATAAATGTTAATTTTAATATTATGTTCACAGAGGCTATTTAAAAAATTTTTGATAAAAATTTATTTAACTTTCCATTTGATAATATAAATGTGTGTCTTCGGTGGACCAAATAAATGTCTTCCGGAAATCATCTCTGTTTTAATATTGACTGATGCCTGTATTGTTAATAGGTAAGTAAAAGTATGATTTGGGGAGACATCGGGCAAGAACATCATACAGTGCATTTTTTGTCCTATGAAATGTGTTCTGGTTCACCATGAAGTGTTGTAATGCCATAAAAGTCGGTGCTGCAGCTTGCACACTGCACAACCAGAGTAAGCCTCCAGCTTTCCCTTTATCTTTCATGCTCTTTAATCACCTTTGCTGGAGCCCAACTGTCTACAGGATAAACTGGATCATGCAGAATTGTTTTCACACTTTCCTGGTGAAGTACTTTAGTTGCAGTTTCTTGTCTTATATTATGATAAGCCATATCCTTCAAATAACTGCAGTGCAGGACAAATTTTCTTCTTTTCTTGGAAAATCTACTTCCCTTTCTTCATTTTAAAGGATTACTTTCCATTTCCAGTACACCCTTTTGTTGCCATTCTGGAGATCAGCTCTGGAGAGTAACATCAAGTTTGGGGCCAATTTATGGAATTTTATGGTAGTCTGTATATACATGTGATACTATATTTGTATGTAGTATATTAGATGCATATAGAATCAACAAGCTGTGAGTTCTATATTCATAGATTCAACCCAGTCCAAATGTAAAACATGTGAAATGCGTTTTGTCTGTACTGCATATGTATAGACTGCTCTTGTCACTTTTTCCAATGTAGTTTATCATAGCAATGTGTTAGATATTATAGGTAATTCTGGGGTGATTTTAAATATGTGAGGGGATGTATATATATATATATATATTACAAATATCATGTCATTTTGTATAACAAACTTGAGCATCCATGGGTATTAATATTTTTAGTGGGAGTACTCTGAAACCACTCCCCATGGAAAGCCACAGAAGACTATTTACACATAGGATTCTTTTGAGCGATTATGCGTGTGATGAATGATATATGTATATAATTTATACATATATGTTGTATATTAAGATGATCATTGTAATGTACAGGTCTTTTTGAAAAAAATATGAATGGTTTATTGTATTCATACAAGATATTGTTTTTCCTAATGTAAACTGAAAAGTAACTTCTTTTAGAAATTAAACTTGAATTATGAAGCTAAAGAACAAAATAATGAACATATTATTTTTAAGATGAACCAGCCTCCAGAACATAATGAAATAATGTGCTCAGTAGGGTGTTAAAAGGACCCAAGGTATAGGAAATGTCAAGTTTCTGACCCCTAGCTGGATCACTATGAAGTGTTGTAGTCCCATTAAAGCAGGTGCTGCAAGTTGCACACAGCACCACCAGAGTAAGCCTCCAGCTTCTCCTTTGTCTTGCATGCAGTATGGAGAGCTGATATGTTTGCTTCTGACTTCAGACACCATGCAGTCATCTGAACCACTGTTGGTCCCTGTAAGCAGGAAGAGTGCCTATCTTAGTGCCAAGTCATCATGCTTCTTGTCAAGGCAGTGGGTGTTAGCCTGACCTGAGCTGCCTTTTCATTTTGTTTCAGCTGAGCACTGACTGGGCTAGGGGACAGGGAAGTCACAGTGGGGGCCCTGGAAAAGGCAGTTGATTTCTTCAACTCAGGCAACCCTGGCGGAGTGGATGAGGTGGAGCTGGCCTTCCTGGAATTGTTGGACCGATTTTCCTGTTGTATTTCACTGTCGACTCTCACACAGACACACACACAGGACTGCTCCAGCTCTGCCTGCCACCCACCACCTGGTCTTAGTGGCCTGCCTATCATTTTGTGGAAGCCCATCCTCTACCTACAGCGATGTTTCTTCAAAGAGAACTAGTGTGCAGTCCGTTGGTGGGTATTCAAGGGGATCTGTCTGTCAGAACCTTGAGTGGTGCTCAAAGGGCTCTTAACCGTTTTTTGTTTTCAGCCTGCTTACCAGAATGGATTGCATGGCACGATCAAGGCTTTCTAGGGGTTTTCTTAGCTGTTAACATAGTGAGACAGAGATTGCTCTTTTTCACTGCCACGAGTGTCTTTTGCTTGCCTACGTGTGTAGATGAACTTCCAGGAGTATTTAAGCATTTCATTAAAATTTGGAAGACTGGGTTTCAATTAAAATAATCAGACTGTGTGACCCAGCTCCTATTTCCTCTTAATTTTGATCATTAAAACCTTCATATCCCCACAGACATCTGCCATGCTTCCAAATGATTCTTTTCAGGAATGTTCATTCATTGTTAGTCAGGTTGCATGGTCAGGCAAGTGTGTGATTATTTTAAAGGATGTCCTAGAGATCCAATTACTAAATGTGTGTGTGTTACAGGCAGATGTGGAAGTACAGAGAAATGGTTGCTTAATAGTTTGATTTGATTTGCATGAATTTCACCAGGTGAGCATTTGGTGACATTAAATCCTCCCTAGTTCTCATGTCAGGCAAAATGATTTCAATTGCAACCTGATTTCTCCTATGTAAAAACAAATAAGAAATTAGAAATTGTTCTAAATGTACTAATTGCTTGTTTGTAAACTCCAGGCTAGCATCTTGATGCTAATCTGCTTGTCATCTTTGCTTCGTTCAGTCATTCTGGACCTCTCCAATTTGTTTGGCAGAAATCCATACTTGTCTGTTACCAATTAAATGAATTTGGATGTGCTGACACTCTAAGGGCACATGTAGTGATATTGTAATTGTAGAATAATGTTCATTACTTGTGCGATGTCACTTGATCATCCTTTTCCCACAGGTTCCTCCTCATTGCAGTATTTATATGGAAAATCTGTTTTATCTGTGTACTGATCTATGCCATAATAGGAGTGTGAAATTGCCAAATATCGTATCTCCCATTCCCAGTCTTGCAAAATTGCTTCAAATCCAAGGAAATCTCCTTTCTTTCTATAAAAACTGCTTTCATTGTCCCTTTTTGGCTCCCCTGCCAGGGTAATAATAACTAAAGTAGACCTTGGGTAGTTTGTTAATTTGGTGACTTTTATACCTGAATGTTAAATACTAAGTTAAGTAAAGAATATGCGGAAATTGCATGTTTTTATTGTGTCATTTAAAATTTATATCCTTAGTGAATTAACTGGCATACAGGGACCAGTTTCTATGGAAGTTATTATATAATTTTCTGGTTTAGAACATTTCTATGAATGAGAGGAAGGTCCTTCTGAGCTCAGACTGTTGTAATCTTAAAATCTCACATTGATTCCCAGTGTTTCTCATCAGTCATTTTGAGCCTTTCAGAGTCTATATTCTTCTGATCCATGATAGAAACACCATTCCACGATCGTCAAAAGCTATTGCGCCTATAGCTCTGTAATCAAAATAATGACATACCCAAAGCCCTAACATCAGTAAGTCAGCTTAACTTTTAATTCTGCCAGGTGATGAGGATGAGAAATGTGGAGCACGTTTCTGAAACAAATAATACAATTTCTTTGTGCCATTTTTAGTGTTGTTTGTTGTTCACAATTCTTTTAAGAGCTAACTTTTATGAAACCATTTTTATGAGTCTTGGAATAGCTTTCTATTATATTAAAGCAGTAGTGGTTATATCAGATATTTACATTACAATTCATAACAGTAGCAAAATTACAGTTATGACATAGCAACAAAAATAATTTTATGGTTGAGAGTCACCACCATAACATGAGGAACTATATTAAAGGGTTGCAGCATTAGGAAAGCTGAGAACCACTGAGTCTTTCTTATCTGGGTTGTATTTTGGTAAATATAAACCTTAATTTCCCCTAGTCTAGAGGATATTTGGCAAAGAACCAGATGACATACCTTGGGAATCATCTGAGAAGTGGGTGAGAAACACCTGGTATTAACAATCAATCACAAGTAAATCAGGGTTGGTTTTTCCAGTTTGTTCCTTGATCCAGCACCCCATTTATTTATCTGATTGTGGCAATATTCACAGCTGTTTACTGAGAGAGATTGTGGCAATATTCACAGCTGTTTACTGAGAGACTGAAAGTAAAATTATTCATGCATTACATGTGTGATCTTCTCTCTATATTCCAAATTAGGATAACAACGAATAACAATTATGTTTCATTCAGTATGCAAACCTGAGACAGAATATGGGTAGGTGGGAAAAGAAGATATCATCTCTGTAGGTGCCTAATTCTAGTCTGATTATTTTAAATTAACATTTAAAATTAAATCTATTTGTGCATGTGTGTGTTTGCATGTGCATGTGTGCATGTGAGTCCACATTCACCCATGCGTGCTCTGGCATGTCTGTGAAGGTCAAAGAAAAGCTTTTTCTTTTACCATGCAGGTTATGAGGATCAGACTTAGGTTTTTAAGGGTGGCAGGAGGTGCCTTTACACACTGAGCCATCTTCTTAGCATGCCCAGTATAACTCTTTAATCATGAAAGTGAAACTTGCATGGTCGACTGAGTTTGGTCATGGATTGAACTTTGCAATGAATGGTGCTAGGGATACTAGATGTTTCTTCGATGTCTATGTTATGTTAACTGCATAAAAGTAAAGATCCTGAGGGGCTTCAGAAAATACCATTGTGAAACTCTAACATGATGTCAAGTGTTTTGATAGTGTGGGCTTGGAGTTTATATCCTTTGTCTGTATTTACTTCCCAGGTCAATATTATGTGTTTGCCTTTTACCTCAAAGGAGAATAAAAAAGATGAGTACAATAGGTACAAAAGGCCATGGGTTGATCATTGATAGTATCTATCCTATGGTTCCCCAAACCTCTTTCTTAATGCCAAACCCTGTAGCAGAAGTCCCTGTGCCATGCCTCTTGTACTGAAAAATTTCCCCTTCTCTGTTTTCTCCCATAGCCTAAGCCATAAACAAAGGACAAACACCCCACCCCAGGACAGTTCTTTTTGTGGAATAAATGAGCCTTAAATGTAAAAGTACTGTACAAGGAAGGTGCCTAGAACATAGAGGGAGCAGTAACTATGCTGTTAGGGCAGCTAGCCAACTGTATCAATCACTTTAACCATCATCTTGTGCCAAGATTTCTGTTATCCTTCCAGCCCTCCCCGCTAGCTCTTTATCCCTTTGTTAATTCATTTGCCTTGATTCTATGAAGTATGTACTGTTCCACTAAGGTTTTATCACCTGTGAGGGTATGTTGGTCATTTGGTTCAAGTCACACATCCATAAGAAGCCTACATCCTACATTTGAGATTGTGAATGTGTTCTTCAAAGGAAGCTTGTGTGTGTGTGTGTGTGTGTGTGTGTGTGTGTGTGTGTGCGCACACACACACATACACTCATGTCTGACCTCATGCATACCTATTTCATCCTTGAATGATTTAGAATACATTGAAAGAATAGGATGAGTCACATAATTTAAACTTTTGCCTTGTTATTCTGTTGTGTAGGAAGAAATATTTTACAGGAAATATTTTAGTGATTTGCTGAGTAGGATAATTATGTCTTTTTGCATTTTTCAGCTTAAAAAGTTACTTTATAAATATTAAGTGTAAATACTTAACTCCTGTCACATTGTTTATTAGAGCTGCCTTTTAAAACATTCCTTTGTTATTTAATATGAAATTTGCAAATACAATAGTGGCCAGGATGCTTTTAACCTCTGACAGATTTTATCCTCATCTAATACTCCCACAGAGACAACAAACAAACAAACAAACAAACACCACCTAACATGAAACCAAAAGAAAAATTATTTAAGGAAAATGATTTATGCTAGGAAGGAAAACAAAAGCCAATTTCAAAGAATGGCAAATGGTCTCATTTCTTGGGCCTGTGGCTTAAGAATTTAGGAGTCTTAAAGTTGAAGGTGTAGTTTGGAGAAACTCTTGGGCCTATGGTTTAAGAAGTTAGGGGTCTTAAAGTTGAAGGTATAGTTTGGAGAAAGTTGGGTAAGACTTTAAAAACAGAGATGAGATGCAAGGCAAGATTTATTCCTTTGCAACAAACCTGAAACTTTAATACCATGAATCCATTATTTTATAGTTTTAGATGTCTGAAACCATACATAAATTGCCTATCTATCAAATTATCTACAGAGTTCTGCTTTTTTCTGGAGGATGTGGGGTGGTATCAGTGTTCATTCTTCTATCACCAGCTTTTAGATGCTAAAAGCTTGTGGCCTTGCCTTTGTTTTTAAACCAGCCTTGTTGATCTAGGTTTGCTCACAACACTCTGATTTTGATGCTTCTGTTGGCTTCTTCCACTTTTAAGAATTCTTTTGATAATTTTGGGTCTCTTGAATAATCCTAGATAAATCTCCTTATTGCAAAATTAGTGGCTTGCAAACCTTAATTATTGCTGCAACTTTAATTACTATTTTCTCCTTCTACCTATATTACATACAGATTCCCAGATATAGATTGTAGTCATCTTTGGGAACATCACCTTGCCTTCTCTATAGAGGAAGGACTAGAAAATGTAGCAGGTTTCTCACTTTTGAGGATGTTAAATGAAGCACTTTAAAAAACACCTGTAGAAAAGAAAGTTTGGGGAAGGACATCAATAAGTCACTCCTATGAGAGTTGCATTCTGACTCTGAAGCAGTTACAAACCATGAAGCTGAGGCTCTGTGAACACTGAAGTGACATCCCAGGAAAATGGTGCTTTGAGACTCAAGCCTAGAAATCACTTTCATGGAAAGTGACCATGAAATGAGTTAACATACCTGCTTACCTTTTGGAAGGATGGAATGGACCATTATTCACCTCATTCTTTTATCCACAAAACCTACCATTTATTTGCTATTGTGAAGAAGTGCTTTCAGTGGTAAATTCATTTCTTGAGAAGAGTGAGGCATCTAAGGATACAAGGTTTCACTGAACTGTATCACAAAAGATGACCCTGCTTCTGGAAAGGATTAGAATGCCTGCTG